TTCTGAATAGAAGAAAGAGGGTAGCTGATCCAAAGAGGATCCTTGCCTGCCAGTCAGCCATGTCCCATCTATGCCTTCAGAACACCAAACAGCCCAATTAGCACTGATTAAGTAAATGAGATAATGGTAATAAAACCTGTAGAAACCAGAATTTATTTTTTTTTCTGTCCAAGGTTGCAACTGGGGCATATTTTGATTAACTCTCTTCTCAGTTCCTCGCAGCTCTTATGTACTGCTCATTTGAACATATTCCTTGTACTCCTGATATGATTCAGTCATACTTGCCTGACTAGCTTTCCTGAGCTAGGCATCTGGGAAGAAAATACAACTAAGCATCAAGAAGGACTTTGTAGACTACAGAGATGAACTGATTCTAAACACAGAGGAAATTGGGATTGAACTAGTTTGATGCATGAAAATTATTTTTCCTTGGCATTCCAGGCTTCCCCAGCTTTCTTTCATCATATTTTTCTGTACAGCAGCTGCACAACTCTAATCTGGCAAGCCTCTAAAAACAGTGAGTAGAAACAGGGAAACCCGCTGTCTGGAGTCCTCTGAAAAGATCATGAGGCAGGTGGGGGTGAAAAGCTTGGTGCATTCTTTGAGCTTCCTGAAACTGGACCCTTTCTGAAGTTTTATTGTGAATCAGAGACCTCCAGTCTTGTGGGAGCTCACCATTTTATTGTTGTATCATCATGATATCTTCAGGGAGCAGTTCTCCAATTCTTACTATTTTAAGGCTCTATGGTCTTCAGAATGTCTTCTATCATCTGAAATCCCCAGTACATGCAATGTAAGCTGACAGCTCTCGATGAACCATCATTACTTCTTGGCTGGATACTCAGCCTAGTGAATCATGAAAGTGCCAAAGGTTTTTATCATGAACAATCTCTCAAACTTCAGTGGGAATAATCAAGAAGACAGAGCCAAACTCTCTGCTTGGAAATGAATAAACACCTCAAACTCCACATGTGCTTTAAGCAAGTCTTATGACATACAGAACCCATTAGGAAATGCAGATTAAAAGAAAAACCTCCAAGTTTCTTCTTATTTTCTCTGAGGATAGCAAAAGTTGAAGTGGGCTCTCTCCTGATGGATGGTAGCTGCCCTACAGACAGGTAGAGCTGCCTCTCCAAGGTGGATGTGCTTTAAGTGCAAGACTATCACAAGGATGCAATTTCCAGTCCCTCCCTAAAGTTCGGGAACAAAATCCCTGAGACTGAGCATCACATCTAGCCTGAAGAAAAAATAGATGAGATTTGATCAAGTCCCAGGAGAATCCCCTACCCTAGCCCCACTGACTTTCAAATGGCAGCTCAGCACCAAACTTCCTTATGTTTTTAGGAATTTCCACATTGAACCCCTCTTTCTACCGCCACTGTCTTCCATGACAGGAAATGTGGTAGGCAGGAAAGGAATGGAATATCCCACATAGCTGGAAGGCCTGGTTAATACTGATTTGTTGGGATGTGTGATGCAACAATATCTGCATAGTTCTGTGTGAAGCTTCCTTTGATTTAGTTGGAGGTTTTCAGTCTGGTGGAACACGAACAACAGGTTCATTGAGGTCTCAGTTCCACCTCTCACAGAGTTTGAACACAAGGAATGCAGTGCAGGCACAGGGAGAGCTTTTGATGTTTCAAACCGGACAATGAGCAACAGTAACACTGAGCTGCGTCAACTAGAAAGAATGAAATATATTTATTTTCTGCAATCCCAGTGGTTCAGACAGACTGGGTACATGTTTCAAAAAATGTCAGTATTCCTTTCCAGTTGGGTTGGTCCCAGGGGCAGAATTAGTGCTTCTGCCTGGCGCTGTAACTGATCTAATGAACCCTGTTGGATGGTACTGGGTTGTACAGATCATTCATAAATCAGGCAATCCACCTGTGGATAAAAAGGAGATGACTACAGCTCTGTAGTCTGCTGGCTTTCAATGCCTTTATTTTTGTGTGAAGGGCTGACTCTTCACTGGACTACAGCTGTCTAATGGAAGAACAGTACCTTTATCCACCACTTTGTCCCTGTGGCTTCAAGGTCCAAGACCTAAGAAACAGGGTTTCTGTAGCATAAAGAGAGCATGTTTTAATTCTTCACCCAGTATTAAGGATTATCAGACTGTAAATGTTATGAATTAACATAATTTCAGCTCCTTGTACACCTGTAAATGCAGTACGCTGTATGGATATATTTCAGTTCAGAGCAGAAGACATTTCATATTCCAGGCCTGAACTGTGCTGGTGGTCAACTCAGAAACACCTGGTCTGGTTTCTGCTCCTGCTGCTCTGGCACTGTTCACCATTCAGCAATGGACATAATGCCCCAAAACATCACAGGAAGTTTGAATTTTACAGGGAAAACCAGGAAAGAACAGAAAGCAAATGTACAAATGCCCCTATTTTCCTCACACACACACAAATAAGCTTACAAACCCCACATATTTTAAAGTAACAAAGTTATTCCATGAGGGGGGAACAAAGAAGGCAATTATTCATCTGTCACATAGAGTAAGAAAGTTACTCGTCTCACAGATGGGTGTACCTACCCACTTGCAGCAAAATCCTTGTTTGATTCACATAAATAACAGCTCTGACCATAGCAGTTTGTGCTAACACATTTGTTCTCACACACATCTGAGCATTTGCTCCTTTATCCAGGCATCCGTGCAGACAAAACCACCATTCCCAATGTGTAGCCACAGAAAATGGAGGAACAACCAACCAACATGATCTAAACACAGACTGAGACAAAACCAAACAAAACCAAACAAATAAAATGTGTAACTTGTGAAAACAGTCATAAATATTTGTCTTCTCTCTTCATACAATTCCCATTCATGTCTCCTTTCACAAATTTAAAGAAATTACATTATCTGGTTGATATAAAAGACATATTAAGGTATATCCCTGTTTCTGTTTTTGGCAGCTCTAGATTTATGAAGAATGTTCAAATGTTTCTTTCGGACAGGAAAGCATATACCTATGGTGTGTAAGCACATACATATATATATATGTGAACACATATATACACAAACATGCATTCACGACTACACATACAGCTACAGCTGTTTATTTTTTTATGATTTTGTATTTAAAGAGAAGTGTTTTAAAACAAAGAGCAGTTACTTTCACATGGTTAATATTGGAAATTTCTTCAACAGAAATGAGTAACATTAACTTATTTACATTAACGCTAAACTTAATACACAATGTTAACTCCAATAACAGAAAGTGATGGAGCTGAAGAACACCATGTAAGCTGAAATTGTGGGAAACAACACAAATAACTTATTTTACAATGAAGCCAAGAAACTTTTTAATTGAAAGTGATTTTGTAAACTAAAATAGGTCTGACCTAAAATAATTTGTTCTCCAACAAAATACTCTGTTCTTTGACTTAGTGTCTATTATTAGCAATTGCATGTAATGTAAGACTGTGCTGCTGGAATATTACACTAAATGAAGCATAGCACTACAGACATGGAAATAACCATCTATATACTAGGATTTAGGAAAGTAATTTCTCATGCAAAATCTTTGGTACAATCTGTAATTCTTATACATAATTTATTTTTGTACTTTGTCATCTGGTTATATTATGTTCAGATAACAGAATCTAAACTAGTATTTTGATGTTACATTACTATTTCTATGGCTACAAAGCTATTTTTTTCTATAAGATGATATCTCTACAGAGTTTGATAAGGTGCTTCTACTTAGCTTTGGAAGACTGGAAAATGCTTAAAATACAAAGAACAGCGTATGCTTTGGTGTAGTTTTACACATTAAAAGACATAAATTTAATCACTCCACTGCCTAAAGAAATCCCGCATTCTAATACCAATTATATTTAATAAATGGTAACCAAAGCTGTCAAGTGCTATATTTTGTATTTTTAAAAGCCAAATATAAGGGATAACTCCTGAGTCATAATTTATTATTAAATTCTAAATTTCATGCGTAAGTGCAACTGCTTTTTATTTAAAAGCAACTATACAGAAAATATAAAACTATTTAGAAATCATATCTTCCATCAAGTTTCTATTGACATTTCTTTCAACTAGTAGCTGTCAGATCACAAAATAAAGTCTTTAAAATGCTTCAAACAGTTCCAGCGGACTGAATTCCTTCAGAAACCTTTTCATGTAAGGATTTACAAATTAAAAGATCAATCAATGCGACATTTTAAAGTGACAGCAATAACAGCTCCTAACTTACTTAACCAGTAAGAAATTTCTATTACATGGATATCCATGATATAAGGCTGTCCACGGGACATGGACAGCCTTATATTAGGTACAATGGACATGTCCATGGGACATGGACAGCCTTATATTAGGTACAAAGAGACAATAACAATGTAAATTATTCCAAAAATGTTCATCAATTTCTTAAAAGCAATTAGATCCTAAGCAAGTACCTAAAACAGCCACGATGCTCTGATCACCTGTCGAAGTTGGAAGGATGAGGAGAGCTGTAACTAATAAAAAGAGCAACTGATGCTCCAGAAGTCTCGGTGAGGGAAGAGGAGCCGGGAGGGAGAAAAAGAACTACTGCCGGAGGGTTTGCCAAGGGGGATCCGCCTTATCCCCCCCCGCCTCCGCATCGCCCCCCGGCAGCCCGGGGACGGTACTCGCCGCTCGGGGGACTCTCCCCGGGGCCCCTCGCTGCCGCACTGAAGCGGGCGGTGACAAGCTCGAGGTTAGGCACAAGTCACCAAGGGACACCGCCGCGCCCTCGCCTGCTCCTCGGAACCCCCCCCCCCCCAGGGCAACCCCCCCCCGAGGCAGCCCGGCCCCGGGCACGGCAGGTCCCGGCGGTGCGGCAGCGCCCGGGCTGCCGGGGGACCCCCGGAGCGCTCCGGCCCCGACCCGCCGCCCGCCCCCGCTCCGGGAGCGCAGCGCTCCGGCCCCGGGGCTCCGCCGAGCTCTGCCCGCGCTCCGCCGACGGCAGGGGCCGCCCCGAGCCCCCCGTCCGGACCCTCTGTCCCGGCCCGCTCACCTGGGGGTCCCGCTGCAGGCTCCCCGCGGATAGGGGCTCTGCGACGCCGGGGTCCCCGCCGTGCCCCTTCCCCTCTCCCAGGATCCTGCTACGGCCAAGTCCCCGCGGAGCCCTCACCTCACCCCACCGCCGGGGCCTCCCGGCCCCCCAAGAGCTGCGCCGGCAGCCCCCAGCCACCGCACCGCCCAGCACGGCGGCACCCTCCTCCCCCGCCACGGCTCCCCGCCCAGAGCAGACCCCGGGAAACGCCTACCGCAGCGCCTGCCCCCGACCCCCGCCGGCAGCCAGGCGTCCCCCTCCCCCGGGACCCGCTGCCACCCCCGCCCGGGGGGGCCCGCAGCCTTGCGGAAGCAGAAGCTATCCCGGAGCGGCTGCGAACCGCAGCGAGGGAGAGTCTGAAGGGGGACAGGATTTCCCCTTGTAACGCTACCATAAAACGAGGAGTTTCTCTTAAAGTTGGGGGAAAAAAGCACACACACCCCCCTCAAATAAAACAAAACCAGCTTCAAAGCCTTCTTCCCCGTTATCCTTTAGAGCATCTTCCAACACTTATCAACATAAGGCTCTCTTGGGAGCTGCAGGTATTGACAAGAACGGCTTAAAATGAAAATTACTGTTTCATAGAAAGTACTCGCAGGATAAAAATTAGGACTTTGAGGTATGAAACGATTTGTGGCACAGCTGGTATGTAAAATAAAACCATCAAACGTCTTGTCATAATCAAATATTCCCTATATCTGGACTAGCCACATTGCTTTTGAAAGATGTCGTTCCATATAAATGCCTTTAACGCCTGGTAGAAAATTTTTATGAACATGTTGACAAATGAAATAACCCGGGTTATTTGATTAGTGTCCATGTAATCTGAATATGGGATTGTATCGGGAAAAGAAACGTCAACCCTTTAATGCTTTTGAAAGGATGGATTTTCGCTGCAATTAAAGAGTAATCTTATACCAATAAAAAAAGCTAACTACTCTCGCCGTGAGCTGTGATACAGGGATTAAAAAGGATGGAGTCAAGAGTTTGTGTTATCTCTTACATTTTTTTAAAATTGAACGCTGGCCGAACGAACAACACTGTTAAGGACAGCAGGGGTTTGGTAGCTGCCCCATCGCCCTGGGAGGTTCCGCATCCTACCACCTGCCCACGAACAAGGCTGGAGATGCAGGTGGCATCTCCTAATGATTCAAGGGAAACACTTGCTGATTTGGGGTGCAGGTGTCAGGAAACCGGGATGGACAATTCCCACTGAACTTCATATCGCAATAGTTTATATTTTTGCAGACTTTATGCAAATAGCGACAGAAGGCGTAAGAAGGGACAATTAGACATTGTCACCTGCCTTATGGAGCTTGAACCACTGTGAAACAGTGCACTGAGGTAACCTGTGCCCCAGGCTGGGTAAGATCCGCACCTTACGGTCAGCTCCACAGTCGCTTGGTCTGATTTTCCGTCGAGTAAGACCCCAGTAGACGAGCTCGGGTGACCGGCAGTCCCAGAGCTATTCCCCCGCCCCGGCCTGCCCTGCCTCCTCGCTCCCCTCCTTTGGGCAGAAGCGCTGACCCCACACAAACCTCGCTTCGGTTTCGGACCTGGCAGGCTTGCCCGGCGTGAGTGACAGCCACCGGAGGGGCTCACGCAGATCGGAAAACCAATTTTATCTAAAACAGGAGGCTGCGGTGGCGGGAGGCGGCTCTGCAGAGGCAGCCCACAAGCTCCCGCCGCGCCCGGCCCTCCTCGCAGACGCTGGAGGAGCAGGGAAGAGGCGCTAGCAGAGCCACAGACCCCCATTTCCCAGGGTGTTTCTGCCCAACGCTAACCGTGGCAGGACCCAGCCGTATCCTTGTTTTGTATATGCACACCTAGCCTTAAAACATGTCCCCCTCGCCGGGCCCTTTGGAGAAGGCAGCTGAGCCAGCCGTCTCTCTTTGCAGAATCAGAGGATACATTAGAGATCAGAAAAGAGCAGTGCACATTACCGGAATATAGTTACAGCGAGTTTTTTTCTTATTAGTGCCTTACTCGGCTTTGCAGACTCCCTTGAAGTCTGTCGCGATATTTTACGAAACAGTCCTATATTCACGAGGCCCAGTGAATGAGGCACCAATCTGAAGCCATCAGAATTTTTATTTCGTTTCGAAAGGCCGCGGTGTGTGCGGGGGAGGGCGGTTGCCTCGGGCAGGGGTTGACGGGGGTGGCCTGGACGCGATGCCGGGGCTGCGGCTCCGGGGACCGCGCAGGCTGCGGACACTAGTGGGCACCGTCGAGGCCGAAGGCCGGCGGAGCGGGAGGAAGGGGGATTCCTGCTGCCCAGCAGCCGCTTGCTCATTTGTTGTGAATGTCGCCAGAGAGGATGTGGGTTTCTTGTATTTCTCCGTGATCTAAGTAATCGCTGGGTCTCAACTGGCCAAAAACCTTTAAAGTGGTGAGCTCAAGCAGTACCTTCAGCTTTTAGCTGGGCATAGTTAAACCGGGCGAAAGGCTGAAAACCGGTGGACCTTCTAATCTTTTCTTGATAAGTCCCCGACCGCCGCCGCGGTTGGATGTGTCTGAACTTGGTCCAGCACAGAAACAGGGAATTGAAACAGAGATGCTTTCCCCGAAGATCAAACTTTATTTCAGACTTGCAGGCGGCAACTCACACCGCACAAAACACGGCAAGGGCTGCTAGAAGGGGCGCTGGATGCGACGGGGAAGGGGCTTTGCGCGGAGGGGGCAGGCACGCTGTGTCCACGAGTGTCCTAGTCGCAGGCAGAGAGAAAGGGCCCGCCGACTGCGCGGCATCCCACCATCCCTCTATGGAGGCGGGCAGAGTCCAGCGCAGAACTGCCATGTGCTGTAGGGAAGCAACTCAGACGCCCACACCCCCGCTCCGCGGCCCCTCCAGCGCCACCCCGGGCGGGCTGTGCGCCCCCGCGGTACCGGCATGGTCCGGGGGAAGAGGTATCACTTTTTACTGCTGGCACGTGGAAGCGGCTCCTGGCCGTAGCCTTACAGCTCAGCTGCCCGAGTGGAGAGGCCCCAGCGATGCAGTGGGTGTTTGGGGGACTGCTGCCTGATGGGGCCGTACGCCAGCGCCCCACAGGGTATGGATTTCTTCCACCTTGACTCGCGTTCCGAAGCCTCCCCCAAGAAAGAAAGAGAAATGTCTAGTCCCAACTCTGTCATGCAAAGTGACTCTGGTCGCATCCCTCCCCGTGGCTCTTTTCATTAATTAGGGGCTGCAAAGGGTGTGGGGGAGGGAGAAGCGGCTGGAAGCCACTAATTATTCAAACTTTGGAGACAGCATCCAGATGAGCTGGGCCAACTCTTTAGGGCAGTGCTTTGTAACCTTTGTGTAACAGGCGGGGAGTGATTATGCTACTGTGCAAAGCCTCCATTAAGAGATTTCATTTCATCATTGCTCATCGCCTGCAGGATGTGTGCAGACTCCAGGGCGAGTAGACCCAAGTTTTCCACGGAAGAGAAACAATTTGCTGTGGCACGAGAAGGCTGGGAAAACCTGTCCTTTACCCCGCCTCCAGGCAATAACCTTTTTAATTGCACTCATCTGCAACTCGATTTTTCTCAACTGCCCCCTCCACCCCTCCGTCCCCCCCTCCGGTTTGCCACAGGTTTTTGCAATGACGCCTGTCTCCTACAGCAACTTCTTTCCGCTCCGGCCACTGCCGCCCCTCAGCCCTGGCCATCTCAGGGCTCTCTCCCCTTCCGAGCCTGCGGGAGAGAGGCTTAGCGGGAAGCGCAGCGATGCCCCGGAATGTGGCTGGGCTGTCCCTGTCCCTTCCTGGGCTCCGCTCCCGCCGCCGGCGGAGTCTCCTGTCCCGTTCCTCGCCGTCCTGCCCCGAGGGCAGTGCGAGAGAGAGGGAGGGAGGAACGCCCGAGCTGTGCCCCGGGGACGATGGAGAGGCGGCGGGGTAGCGGTCCCTAACCTCGGTCCCTCGCTCGCAGCAGCCTTTCCCACCTCAGTATCCCGGAACAGGAAAGTCCCAATTCAGCTTGCCCCATAAGATCCTGTCTCCCTCCTCCCGCTCCCCTCCCTCTGCCCCTTCCTGCCTCTGGCCCTTGCGGGAGGAACCTCTTCTGTCCTTGTGGGACGGGGCTGAGCTGCTCGGGGCAGCCGCCAAGGCGGCGGGTTATGGGGTCTGGGCTCTGGGAATCATCCGCCTGGGCTCTGCCCCCAGCCCCGAGACAGCGGTCCGGTGTCCAGCGGGAAGGGCTGCCTTGAACTCTCAGGGTTGAGCTGAGATCCTGAAGTTAGTGATTTTTTTGTTTGTTTGTTTGTTTTGATTTTTTTTCCCTCTGCCCTCGGTGCTTCCGAAGTGCCTGTAATATTTGCAGAGCGCGAGGGAGAGAGAGGGGGGAGAGAGAGACTGGGGGAGGAGGATTAAGGAAGGGAAAAGATGGCGAGTTGCTGGAGCAGCGTGGAGAAAGCGGCATTTTTGTGCTGCTTCTTGCTGGCAATGGGAAGCCTAATCTCCTGCGCCCGCCCGGAGGTGGAGGAAGAGCAAGAAGAGCAGCGCTCCTGTCACGGTGCCTTTGATCTCTACTTCGTCCTGGATAAGTAAGTGACAGTCGCATTTAAAAACGTTTATTCACCCTTGAGTGACTCCTTGCAGCGGCAGGGACGTTGTTTCCCCCGTCTCCCCGCATGGCTTCCCCTGATGCCAAACATGATGTTTGGGGCAAGTTGATCTATTTTTGTTCCCCAAAACTTGCACGTTTCCAAGTGGAGCATTTAGGGTAGCATTGTGCTTTATCCTGGATTAGTTTCACATGCAAACCTGGGAAGTTGTGTCACTTTAAGGTTACAGTGTGTGGTAGGAGGGCTGTGAGCGTTGGGTTTGAGAGGATATTGGTCAGTGCCCCAAGTACGCCTGGGGTTTTGTGTCAAAACTCGGGCTATGTGCTGAGATGTTACCCGTGGGACTTAGCAGTGCGAGGACTGTGCAGTTACCTAAAGTTAAGACCAGACTGCTTGTATGTGGTTGCTTTTTTACAGATTCACTTAAAAAACATGGTTTTATGAAACTTATTTTTGCTCAACTTCTTCAGAATCGTCTTGTGTTTGAGTTACTTCTATTAAAATAGTTCAACAAATACTTTTCTTTAATGCTATGTAAGCTGAATTCAGGTATGGCCACGGGGTATGATTAAGCTCACAGGTATAGGCATGTTACAGCAAGCACTAGCAAAGCCAGTGGTAAACTGGTGCACTCGCAAGTGTTTTTCAGAAGGCATGAATTTCTGTTTCCCCTGGTGTACTTCTGACTTGTCAGCCAAGGCCTTAACTCAAGGAGTTAATTGTTAGTCTCCCACATATACTCAGTGTGATGGCTTTGTTATCTAATACATCCTGGATTATCTGTATGTCATGGTATTACGAAAGATGGAAGATTTTTCTTCATGATTCTTGCCCTCAAGCCAGGTATGAAGTCTTCACTGTGCTATTTCCCAGTTGGAAGAGCTATTCAGTCCATAAGGCCTTCTGCACAGCCTGCAGGAGGCAAAAAGCCACCATCACTCAGGATGTACATTCATGTATTCAAGAAGAAGAAAATAAGTATCAGTAAGTAGTGATTCTGATTTTAGAGCAAAAGAAGCTGAAGTGGTCACTGTTTTGTTTTCCTTTCCCAAAGAACTTGTCCCTGAAGTAAGTTTGTGTCTAGAAAGAGCTCTGCAGAGGGCTATTGTTCGTTCTCAAATTTATTCCTGTCAGGCTTTCTAGCAGTGACGAGTATTGTTGTTATGCCCAGTTTCTGTATTGAATTCTCTGTAACATCGAATGTTGGTGATTGCAATATGGGTTCTCTGTCTTCTGTAGTGCAATTTCTGTGTTTACAAGGACATTGAGTACCCCCAACAATCACCACACTGCGCTTCTATCTTTTCATCTGTAGATCAGAAAGAACTTTATTGGCTGTTATTACTCATGTTGTACGTGGAGAAATAAAGGTAGAGAAGAGAGCAATTTGCTCAGAGTTACTGATCTGTCAAGCAATAGGAAGCTGATCATGTAAGCAAGTTCCTCTCCAGTACTACGGACTTGAAATAATGTGTTTTCTTTTAGCAAGCTACAGGTCTTGTCTTTTATTTTGTTTCGGGTGCTATCTTCTCACTACAGTGGTCCACTGGAAACTGGACCTGATTATGGTTGAAGTAAAAAGTCGTGTGCTTGGGTTCCAGTGGGAAAATTCTCCTTAGCCTCAGCTGCAAACTGAGTCTTTATGAGCTGTGAGAGTTTTACCAAAGAGTTTCTCTTTGGTAAAAATCTGTAAAAAAAGTTACTTAGGCCCCTGAGTGGTTTAAGAATCTATCCCTGCTCCTACCAAGTCTGTGACAATGTGGTGGCAAAGCTGCTTTTGGTCTCAGTGAGATTGCATTACAATCCAAAGGGTAATATTGGAGTACCGGATCTTGGGAGCCATAGATCCCGTGCTGGCTGAGGGTGTATTTAGTCCCAGCTGTATTCTGTGACATCTGGCACAACACAAGGAGCTTTATGGGGGCAGGTAGAGACTAAGTGAATAGACTTTGGATTTTGGGGCAGTTCATGAGGAAGGATCTAGATAATTCTTCAGTGTTGAGAAGGGTCAGGGTATTCCAGGTAGGGATAAGGCAGGAAGCCAGTCAGAAGCAGCTGGTAAATCTGTAAATGCAGTGGACACCTTATTTTATAATGGAATCCATGCTGATACATATCTGGAAAGAATTCTGGCTCTAATTTCTAATGGGAGAAACCCTCCAAAACCCCAGCCATATGCACCACAGAGTATCCTCATATGGCTTGGGGATTGCCTCCCTTTTTTAGTGCCATGCCAGTCTGAAGTTAGATGTATTCAGTCTTAATTAGCTGTCTAACAGTGGGACTGAAGTAGTGGCTCTGTGAAAACTCCAGGCTTTGATCCTGTGACCCTGTAGTGAGCTCTCTTGCTGAATGACAGGCCCTGTCTCTGAAGTCAGCCTGAGTGAACCAAAATGACTTTAAGTCTTCTGGCTTTGCTTCCCCATAGAAAGACGTAATCGGAAGGAGACAATTTGGAAGAGGTCAACAAGCCTTTCTCCTTATGCAGTGTGTGTTACTACAATGTCTTTATTGGGGCGTGATTTTTGCTCTTTATTTTCCTAGGCAAAGTCTGTGGGGATTTAATCCTGCAGGCAACAACCATCAGATGGAAAAGATCCTCTTCTGGTGAAGTTATTGGTATAATATATATGCTGCCAATTAGAAAAAGAACTCGCTGTTTTCTTACAGTTTTTCTTTTGCTTGAAGTTGATTGCAGTCCTTTATGTTAACTCCATAGGATAGGCAAGATCAGAGCAGTGGCACTAAGCCTTAGATGCCCAAGAAGCTGGCATGGTGAAAGGGAAAAGCAGCATGTGTGGGAGGGAGGGAGAGCAGCCATCATCCTCCTTAGGACTGACCGTGCCAGAGCCACATTAAGATTGCCTCAAGGAGCAAATCTCTTGAAGCTAGGAGAAGTGGACATTCACTGGCTGCAGAGGCAGCTGCCTAGAGTCTGCAGTCTTTTGCTGTTTGTGTGTCATTCTTTATGAGATATTCAGGCTTGAGTTTGTTTGGAAGTGTAGTGGAAGACTAAATTACCATAGTGAAGCAGCAAAAATTTTTCTATTTGCAGCTAAGTCACTCTCTCTGCATGAGGTAAGGCAATATACCTTGCAGCTGGCATACCCATCTCTCCTATGGCATGTGGTAAGATCAAGTCACCTGTGATAGCAAAGATCTCATTTTTATCTTTACAATCATAGCTCTTAAACCCAACATAATGGATCGTTGAGAAGTCCCACTTGCTGTGGTTGCTTCATTTACTTAGGTTGCCCAGATGCACAAGGAACTTGTTTCAGTCCCATCCCAAACTGTGGAGGACAGGTCCTGTTAGAGATTTGATTGCTTGACCATCAGGTCTTGTAGTGACATACTTGCACTTGAATATGTAAATAACTCCTTTCATCTTGCCTTACCGTTAACATCCAGCTGTTGTTTGTAATCATACTGAATTACACTTGCAGAGCAGAAAGAATGCCTGACCTCTTGTGTTTCCTAATTATAACACTGCCTAGTAGCATCATTATGATTGTTTATTAGTGCAACAAATAGAAACCCTTTTAAAGTAAGGACTTACAACTGCCATAAATATCTGCTTCTGGCGATGCTTGACATGACAGATCTGAGCTGCAGAGCTGTCTGTATTTTATATTTACCAAAAGTGTAGAGATTGCCTGATTTTTTTTTTTTTTGACTGTGAAATAGACAAAAGTATTTTCTTGTTTTTTCTGCTGGGATGCTTGCTAAAAGTAGTTTGGATTTTGAGGAAAAATGAGCTGCACAGCCTTGGAAAAAATGTTTCCTTTTCCTGCCGCACAGATGATGGCAGTGGAAATGTACTGGTAAGGCCTTGCTTGGTTTGGTTTGATTATAACTGATTTTTGGGTAGTCTGGCCTAAGTGCCCTTTCTCCACTCTTCATCTTCCCCCTGAACTTTTCGGTAGTACCTCTTTGAGGCTCTCCTGTCATTTTGGGCCCACAAGGTTATTGCCTTTGTTTTGCTTTGTCTCCTATGTCTGAGAGCATCTCTGTCAAGAGCAACTTCTGTAAAGACATCAGTATGATGTGTGCAGCCTCTCACTTGTAATCCATTTTGCAGCTGCCTTTCTTTAAACTTGGTAAGCCTCACTCCAGAGGTGAACAGCCACTGGTAGGGAGCTGGTGGGGAAGAACACAACCTCTGATTAGATGGGAATTAGCTACCCTATCTAATCTCCTTCCTGATTTTGGTTTTTGGGTCTGTATCCCCCTCCTCAACTTGCCCTTGAAAAGGCAGTTTTGTGGGGGTGGGAAGTGTCAGGAGGGAAACAGGTTGATGCTTCCTAATTTGCTTCAGGCAAACCAAAAAGCTTGGGAGCAAAAGGCGTTTCAGGAGCTGCCATTCAATATCGGCTGTTATAAATGTGTGGGAAGGGGAAGAGTAGCTAACAACACTGTTGTGGTTGGAAGACAGACTGCTGGCAAAAATAGAAGTCTGAATACATGCCCTGTCACCTAACTTAATTATATTTGAAAGTTTTGTATTGACCGACTTAAACCAGTGCTGAACTACCTTTTCTCTAAGCAAGAATACCTACCTACTGCTGGCAGGCTTCAGTTCATGTAAGATGTAGAATCTGATGCAGGTCAGTTAAGAGGAGTTGCTGTCTGAACAAAAGTATCACCTTTGTTTCTTAGATAACATTGATTTCTATTTAAAAATGGTTGTGACTATCTCTCTTCCTCCTTTGCTGCCTGACTTTACCCCTTATAATTTGACCACATCATCTGCATGATACCTCTCATAATCTCCAACTGCCTGTAAGCAATATGCTTATTGTTTTCAAAACATAATCGTTTGATATTTTGCCTTTGCATCTTTCTTTGTTGTGGTTTTATTGCAGCCAGTGCTGTGATTTGCTTACAGCCAGGTATATTGCTCAGAATGTTTCAAAGCAAATTTTTATTCTGCTTCAGACATACCTATGTTATTCAAACCAGGTTTTATTTGTTTGTAT